TCACTTCCAGAGTTCGGCCCTTGAGTCGTAAGGTTTCCTTTCGTTCATTCCGCCTGGAGTTGAAGCCGACAGGAACATGTCCTTTTCTTGTTCCCCTTCATGGTACAAACTTCATCGTGCATCGGCGATGCTCGTCGTTCACGGGTCGTGGGGCGAGTGAGGGGGCACGAGCTTTGAATCTATTTCACCGAGAGGCGCAGTCACCGTCATATCTTCGGATGAGAAAACAGCCAAAGACTGCCGCTGGCAGGAGCAGAAGTAAGTGCCGTAGAACACACGATTTACGAGCATCGTCTGTTCGTATATGTCCTTTGCTTGGAAGGGGAAGCGTTTTGTCTCTTGTACAGAACCGGCCCGGACTTAAGAATATGGACGTTAAGAATTTGAGCCTAAAAAAATCCAATTTTTAAGAATTTGCCCGTAAGAACACGTGCTCAGATCGGACCTGCTGTTAAGAATAAGAACCTCCAGTGAGGTGTACGACTGGTGCTGCTACAGATAAGAACATACTACATGACGCGGCGGTGGCGAGAGAAGAACATACACAGATGGAGGAGGAGGGGGGGGGGCAGGCGTTCCCAGGTTTGGTAGTTGGTACCTACCTAGACTATCCCTTTTTAGATTTTTTTTGAGGTGGGGGTCTGCTGTACATACACGTCGTGCCCCCAGCGAGTCTTTTTTATTTACCACGCAACGTGGTGCAGCGTGCCACGAGTTGCCTGCCGTGCAGGGGGATCATGTCCCTGTCCAACCCCTTATCCCATGGGTTGTTGAAGGACCTTGGCAAACTCTCGGAGTTGAAACAACGAGGACTGATTCTTGACCGTCACTTCGAGACGATAAAGGCACATGTGAAGGCGGGCAACTCCGTTGCGAAGGAGCGATGGGACGCAATCGAGAACGCATGGGGGCTGAAGCAGACGGGTGTCTTCAACGAAGAAGAGTGGATCACGCAGATTGATGGAGAGGCCCAGGCTATTACCAGCAGCACCCGTCCGTCGTTATTAACGCCACAAGATGCGGGCGGCGCGCGAGGTGCACCGTCTTCGCACCCACCGCCTGCTGCTACTGCTGCAGCTGCCGGGAAGAGAAAGGTCGCAGATCGGGGGAAGCAAGCGAAGGGATCGAGCTGCCCAAGGTGTTCTAGGTGGCAACATCATCAACGCGTTCGCTCGTGGCAGCGGAAAACCGGTGAGTTCAGTCATCTGACGAACTCTGTTGCTGTGATGATGTACATATATACAGCAGTCGTACGGCGGTCCAGCAGCTGTATGTAGTGTAAATACAGCAGGAGTGCTACTGCTGCTGCTGTTGTTTAAAAAAAAACGCGGTGGTGATGAAATGAAAAAGACGAGAGAAAAACTACTCTGTCACAGGTTGGTGTAAACGACTGACTTTCAGCATGGCGTACATGTATGTGTACAACTTTTTCAAACATTCTCCGTTTGCCTCAAGTTCTTGAGGAAGGCAAGGACGGTACAGTAGACACAATGGCGAAAAAGAACGCGTACACGAGCGCCGTCCCAACCGTATTTTGTTACATGTTTTTTGCTGCACCGTGATCCAAACACACGAGAGACGGTCATGTAATCATCCCCCGCCCCATCTGCATAGATAGATATATTTTGCCATCGACATCCACGCAATTTCAGGTCCACAGCTCGTTGAATCACCTGCACCTCAATTCCGCCCTTCTCCTACCGCGCCGTGCAGATTGAGCGGACTCGCGGTGGTGTCACAGAGCATGTGTCCGGTATCAACTTCCCACCTCCGGCCCCGGAGCGGCGCATACCGTGCCCTCACTGTCCCATGACCTTCGTGAACGAGCAAGGACTTGGGATCCACGTGAAAACACAGCACAGCAATGCAAACATGTCCAACGGCTTGCGGCTGCAGCGGATGCTAGGGAAGACTCCCAAAGGGTATGTTCAGCCGTGGGGAGAAGCCGGGCCTGGACGTTGTTGGCACGTGAAGGTCGATGGTGCGACGGGGGCGGCTTCGTTCGTCCTCCAACGGAAGCGCTTCCGCGATCTCGACTTGGAAAGCGACGGCTTTACGGACCGCAAAGTCAAGGAGACTCGTGGAGCTGTGAAGCGCAAGCGATACGATTTCAGGTTCAAAGCCCATGTTGTGACCCAGCTGCGCCTCCTCCAGGAAGACGCCGCAGACCTCTTCAAGGAGGAGCAGCTCACGCCTCTCCAGTACTTAGAGGACCGTCTCAAGGTTAACTACAGCCTGATCGTGAAGTGGGCTCAGGACGAGGCCAATATAGTCCAATCGGCAGCAGATGACGTGAAGAAGACCCTCCTTGCCAAACAGCAGCCAAAGCGGTGGTTTCCTGAGGAAGAGAAGAAGCTGTACAATATGTTCTTGGCGCGGCGGAGGAGGAAGCTGAAGGTGTCGACCCTGTGGCTGACGGTCACGTTCCGGAAGCTCGTGCAAGAGAATCACCCTGAGGACCAACGGGCGGCGGCGTTCAGCGCGTCCTTCAGGTGGGCACGAAAATGGGCAAAGAGGCATAAGCTGTCCAAACGGCGCAGGAGCAACCTCAAGAACAAGTCTGTTGAAGAGCGCCTACCAAAGATCCAGCGCTTCCACCGGCGGTTTCGCAAGCTCCTGCAAGAGCCGGTACGGTACAGGGCACCCGAGGCATCGGACGTGTCGGCGATGTCGACGGTCGCGGAGGGAGAGTCCAGAGATCCCAAGTACGGTCAGTTCCAGCTCTGGGAGCGTTGGAATGTGGATCAAGTGCCTTTGCCATTCGTGAACGGGCTGATCAGCACGTGGGAGAAGACAGGCGCGTTGCGTGTAGCCATCTCGCAGCCCTTTGCTGGCCTAGAGAAAAGGAAGTGCACCATGCAAGTCATCTTTGGTCCGGGTGAGAAGACTATGCGGATTTCGGTGATTTTCCGAGGCCAGGGGAAGCGGATTTCGCCGGTGGAGAAAGCCGCGTACCACAAGGACGTGGACGTGTTTTTCCAGGAGAATGCGTGGGCGGACCAAAAGTTCTGCATGGAGTGGGCCAAGAGGTCGTACCGCGAAGGCCTGATCCGCGGGCGGGGTGAGCTCCCCAAGGCGAGGTCCATTCTGATAATGGACAACTTGCACGCGCAGACCACGGACGAGTTCAAGGGGTATCTTGCGAAGCAGTGCAACACTATCGCCTGGCTTGGCCCTGCGGAGTGCACGGACGAGGTGCAGCCAGTTGATGCAGGAGCCGGACGATTTCTCAAGGTGGAAGTTGGTAACGAGATGGACAAGTGGCTCGATCAGTCGGACAACATCGAGAGGTGGGAAACCGCGTCGCTGACAGCATCTGACCGGTGCGTACTGATCACTCAATGGACGGGAGCGGCCATGGCAAAACTCAACAGCAATCAGGGGTACCGACACCGCCTTTTCGAAAAGTGCGGGATGGCGATGACCGTGGACGGCTCAGGCGATGATCGAATCACCTTGGAGGGTTTGGACCAGCCGTACACCTTCGCAAACGATGAAGACTCCAGCGAGAACGAAGGAGGTTCGGAGGACGGCAGCGATGGGCCCGAGGGGCGGGAGGAGGAGGGCGCCGGAAGGCGCGAGCCGGTCGTCGGGGATGAGCGCAACGGTGCCAACAGCGGGGAGGGCATGGAGGGCGCTGGATACAGCGATGAAGACGACGACAGTAAGTTTGATTGGCACTACATAGACTACAGTTAATTCATTGTCCTTTTTGTTCATCTTTTCTTGTGCTGTTTGGGATATTGCTGATATTCTGTTTCCGCGTCACGTCTACGAACAAATGGTGTGTTCACTTCAGTTGAGTAACGGCGATGACACCCGTACGTTCCTTCTCGTGTTTCACGGTACCCTTCGTCGCAGACATGTCTCAATCCCAGACCGACGAGCTAGCTCTTTTGGACGAGGACGACAGCATGGACCCAGACGACCCGGAGGACGAGACGCAGGGAATGGAGATCCCGGCGGGCTTTCGCCTTCAAGAATCTACCCCCGCTGCTCTTGACAGATTGCTTTTGCAACGTGGAGTGTTTGTTCGGCTGGGCATGGGGTGGTTCGGTGGGTTGATCATTCAGCAATCTCCGCAGCGCCACCTGTACGACTACTTTGTGCAGCTGGAAGTAGACCACAGTACGCGCAATATGAAGCTGCCCTTAGATAAGTACAGCGAAGATCCGGACGCGGCGGTAGGCTCATGGGTTTTGCTTGAGAGCGTCAGTAGGGCGGGAAGGGTACGCACACCCAACGTCACTCTTGTGGACCAAGACGGTTGACAGTTGCCCCATGGGGGGGTGTTTGCGGGTATGAAACTCTGCGTCGAGTGCAGTTGAGTAGTGCACCAATTGAGCAATTGATGATGAAATAAGAACAAGAACACCGTTTCTGGAGACAACTGGACGACGAAATAAGAACCTGGCAAATAAGAACTTGTGCTCGGCTTGGGGCAGCCAACAAGAAGCGAGCCTCGCTCCAAATAAGAGGTTCGTAAGTGCCTGCCGGATCTGTAGTAGACACACAAGGGGAGTAGGGAGAAGTGAAGCCCCTTTTGGAGTTCGAGGGGTCCCCGCACATGCAACAATTCCAAGGTGTACATATGCCCCATCTGCGTGCCCTCTATTGTTGCCGGTAGATCTAACCAGTCCGTATCCAAACACACGAACACCCTCCCCGGTTTGCACGCGAATGGCAAACCTAACGTGGGGCATGGGTACCCCTGATCTACCAAAGGGACTCAAAACAACAACAGGCTCGAGGGAAGACCCGGCCTACCGGATCAAAAACCCTCGTCTAACACCCTAAATATAGAAAACCGTCGCTATCACGGAGGATTCCAACGGCCGCACTTCCAAGACAAGACCAAGGCAGGACAGATTGAACCGGTCACGCTAAATACACACCAGAAGCAACGCTCTCGGCGTTTCTAGGCTTCAGCCACGGGGGACGCGCCGGCACAACGCTTCCTGCGTGACGTACCATGGTCATCCAAACAGAACAAGAGAACACTACATCGGTTGGTTCATCAGAGCCTTCCGGTGGTACTCTAACTTCTCTCTGCCAAGGACCTTGGTCAGCATGTCGGCGTGCTGCTCTCCAGTCGGAACATACTCTGCAGTGATCTTGCCCGACTTGAATAGCTCGCGAATGAAATGGAACCGCACGTCGATGTGCTTGCTCCTCGCTGAGCTGAACGGGTTCTCGATTAAGGCGAGAGCCCCATTGTTGTCCTCAAGGACCTTTCGCCCCACTCGTCTCGAGCGCTATGAACGACAGAACGCCACGCACAAACAACGCCTCCTTCACGCCCTCCCCGGCTGCCATATACTCTGCTTCCGAGGTCGACTGAGCCGTCACTGGCTGCGTCTTGGTGGATGCACACACTACGGTACCACCTACGGTCACAGCTAGCCCGGTCGTAGAACGCCTGTCTACTTCGTTGTCAGCGTAGCTGGCATCGACAAACACGCTTAGGTCTAGTCCTGACCCCCGTACGTAGGTGATGCCGAAGTCCTTCGTGAAGTTCAGGTAGGACATGATCCGCACAAGCGCGTTCCATATCCTCCCGGTGGGTGAGTGGGCGATCTTCTGGAGCTTGTTCAGAGGCAGGGCGATGTCTGGCCTCGTCAGCTTCGTCCACATCAGGCATCCGATCGCCTCCCTCACAGGCTTATCCACCGCGGGCTCGTCATCTCTCTTCGGCCCTAGGTCGGCATCGGTGGCAGCAGGGGTGAAAGCGGTCGTGGTCACATCAAACCGCTTCAGCATACTCTCAATGTATGCTGTCTGGGACAGCTTGGTGATGCCATTTTCTACATCCATGGCGATAGCACACCCGTCGTACCAGGTACACTCCCCCAGATCTTTCACCGGAAACTTCTTGTTGAGGGAAGCGAACAACTCCTCTCGCTCTCCCTCGTCTGCCGCCACTAAGATGTCATCAACGTAGATCACGATGAGACCTACGACCTCTCCATCCACCACCTTCCGGAAGACACACGGGTCAACCCTGCACTGCTCGTATCCATTCTCGATGAGGGCATCGGCAGCTTCAAACCCCCACTCACGGCCACCCTGCTTTAGGCCATACAGGGCACGCTCAACCTTGACCACCTTGCCGGACATGCTACCACAGCCTTCCGGGAACCTGAGGTATATTTCTTCTTTTAGCTTAGCGTGGATGTACGCTTGCTTCACATCCCAGTGAGCGAGTTTCTTGCCCTTTTCAGTGGCTACGGCAATCACCGTCTTGATAGACGCTGCAGACGGGCACGCTGAGGATGAGTGGTGGAAGTCGATGCCGGGGATTTGAGAGAAACCCCGCGCAACCATACGGGCCTTGAAGTCGACTATCAGGCCCTTCTCATTCGTCTTCCAAGAGAACACCCACTTTGAACCTATGGCCTTCCGCCCCTCGGGCAGCTCCTTGACCTTGGTAAAGGTTCCAGTCTTGTCGTGGCCATCTATCTCTTTCTTCATGGCCGCCTCCCAGAAAACCTTGTACTTGGAACACATCACATCCTTGTACGTCATCGGTACTGCTTCCACATCACTCGGCTTCTGCCCGATTGGCGAGGTCATACTTAGCTGTGGGTCTGGCAGTGGTTGCGAAGACCCGCTGGCGTCGACCTCGGCCCCGAACGCCTGCTGTTCCGGGCCCGACACCTCCTGCATCTCGCGCCTGTACATCTCCTCCATACGGCGTGTCTGCTCCTCGTCCCACTGCTCCTTCACAAGCGAGTTGCAGATGTAGTCCTCAACAATCCCCGTCCCGCCAGTTTCCAGGATGGTCGCCAGCAATGCCTCTTCCGGGTCCGGTGTTTCTCCGGGCCCCGGCATCTCCCCGGCACCTTGCATCTCCCGGGTCTGCTTCCGCGTGCGGCCACTCTCAAGCCCATGGCGCAGCGGGCCAGCGTTCGAGGCGCCCCAGAGGAGTTTCTTCCCTTCTAGCCCGCGGGGGTAGCGGTCGTCGGCTGGATCATACTTCAACTCCTCGAGGTTCTCGGAGTCGCCGGGATCACCATCGCTACCGCCGTCCCCACCTGGGTCGTCGGACTCTTCGCCGCCCAGGCCGCCGGCACCGCCGACGTCACTGCTGCTGCTGCTCGGGCTGCTGCTGCTGCTGCTGCTGCTGCTGCTGCTGTCGGTGGGGCTGTCACTGCCTCCGCCGAAGTCGCCCCTTCCCGAAGGGGACGACGGGGGAACGCTGCCTCCGTCCCCCGGAATCCCGTTGCCGGGTGCCGTCGGCGCCTCCTCGCCTACAAACGGCGTCGCTTGCCCTGGCCCACGAGCCTCCATCACGTCGAGGTCGGACTCACTCTCTGAGTCTATCTCCCCCCCCCAACCTTGGCGTGATGCATCCGCTCTGCTCTCGCCCTCCCCGCCCTCATCGTCATCTGCGAGAGGTAGCAGCTGCGGGGGAGCGGGCGATGCAGCGGGCACGTGGCGCCAGGTGAAATTGCGGGTGGTGACTACTGTAACAGCTTCGGCATGCGAACGCAGTCACGGGGGTGATTGTTGGCAGGACCAAAGCACCATCCTTTTTTGCCCTTGGGTTGCGACTTTCCGTTGCTTCTCGACTTGAACACGGCCGGTTTGAGAAACGGGTATGTAGACCCGACAGGCGGTGGGGAGTCGTGGAACATCTCGTAGGCGGATTTGTCTCCCTCGTTGATTTAGTGGCGGTGCAGCTCAGCTGATGGCGTGCACACGAAATGGCCTCGGCCCCCAACCCGGGGTGCTTCGGTGCGTCGGGGAACAGTTGCGTCGCTTGGATGCGTGACGCAAGCGCGGCATCAGTGATCAACCCTAGCGCTCTCTCCGCTAAACCGTTTTTTTTGGGGTGTGAGGGGGGGTGAACTCTTGTTTGATGCCGTGTCAGCGGCAAACTTCCGCAAACTGCCATGGGACTCGCCGCCACCGTCGGTACGTGCGATATAAGCCTCACACGGAACCCCTTTCTTTCATTAGTCCGCCAGGAACGTCTCAAACCCAACCGCTGCGTCAGACTTGTGTTTCAAGAAGTAAACCCGCGTCCAACGGGAGAGATCGTCTCTGATGATCAGTGTGTACCAGTTGCCACCAATGCTCCTGGTTTTCATCTTTCCCCCCAAGTCGAGATACACGCGAAATAACTTCGTAACTGCGCTTGTGCTCGTGCTCTTCTGGACGGGTTTCACGTGTCCCTTGGACATGGAACAGCCAAGGCAGGGTAGCAGCGGTCCATCCGTCAGCTGCACTCCCTGCTGCTCCGCCGTGATCCTGAGCAATGTCTCGTGGGCATGGCCGTGCGCGAGGTGGTACTCGTTGAGGTCAGTGGGGTTGGCTGCTTTCGCATCGCCAGGAACAATGAGTGCGGCACAGGCGGTGTGTAGCGTTGGCTTTATTTGATAGCCTCGTTGGGTCAGCAGCTTGCCAGTCCGGGGGAACCACACCTCCCCCCCGGCTTCCGTGGTCAGCGTGAGGCCCCCCTTCATCCCCGAATACGTGTGGCCTTCCTCCGCCAACGAAGACAGCGAGAGGACGTTGTAGGGGGCCTCTGGTACATGGGCAGCATTCAGTACTGTTACGGGTACTCCACCATCTTCCGCCTGTAGGACTACGGTCACATCTCCGTATCCTAGAAGAGGAACGGGGGCCTTGTCGCCTACGATCCCCTTCACCCAACCGCTACGCTCACGGTAGTTCACGAGGTTGGCTGCCAATCGAAACATGGAGCATGTGGTCGCTGTATCGGCCACGTACACCGCCTGGCCTTGTTCCATAACCCCCGCTAGACCTACTTCACCAACGGTACCACTCTCGCCTAGGGGGACTGCCCCGGCAAAAACCACCTGGTCTTCCACGGAGTCCACGTCGCTCTCATGCTCCACCACTTGCGCTAGGGCGGCCTCCTCCGTCGCGCACTATTCTTTGGTGTGGCCCCACCCCTCGCAGCGCGCACATTACGGCACGAAGTCCTTCTCGTTGGCAGTGCAGCCGATCGCTTAATGTCCACGATGTCCACACCTAAAGCACCGGCCCGGGAACCTATGGTCCCCTCCACCGCCGCCATCGGCGCCTCCACTGCCGCTTCCCTTGCTCTCTTCGACTCCTCCGGATCCACCTGAGCGGCCGCCGCGACCGCCGCCGCCGCGGCCACGACTGCTGCTGCGGCCACGGCCGCCGCCACGATCACGACCTTGCCCCTGACTCCTACTTGAATACTGGTCCCTGCGGCCGTCACCGTCGACGAAGTACGCTTGCTCTGCGCCCTTCGCCCCTTTTCCTTCTCCTGCTCCAGCTTGTCCCTGATCGCCATGTATTCGATCATTACTTCCTTTAGCACACCGGTCCGCGTCAACTCCTTCGCGTGTCGCAGGTTGTGCTTTGCCATGGCATACTCGTCCGAAAGGGCATCCAGGAAGAGGCNGGCCACGACTGCTGCTGCGGCCACGGCCGCCGCCACGATCACGACCTTGCCCCTGACTCCTACTTGAATACTGGTCCCTGCGGCCGTCACCGTCGACGAAGTACGCTTGCTCTGCGCCCTTCGCCCCTTTTCCTTCTCCTGCTCCAGCTTGTCCCTGATCGCCATGTATTCGATCATTACTTCCTTTAGCACACCGGTCCGCGTCAACTCCTTCGCGTGTCGCAGGTTGTGCTTTGCCATGGCATACTCGTCCGAAAGGGCATCCAGGAAGAGGCGAAGGACGAACGTTTCGTTGACAGTTAGTCCTTTCTCGGTTAAGGACTTTGCGGTTTAGAGCATCTCATGTGGGGCGTTTTGGGTTTTTTCACCTCTAGATATCCTGGTCGACGTCAGGGGCTTGAGGTCCTCTGACGGCTGTACAGATCATTCAGGGTCGTGTATGGTCTTGAGCTCACGAAGAGCTCCCTGGGGCGTCTCTGCCCGCTTCATGATTGTCCGATCTTTTCTTTTCAACGCGTGAGACAGGAAGTTCCACGCGTGGAATGCGAGTTCTACTTGCTCGCTCCGGTACTGCTGTGACAGCGAAAACTTGCTCTTTCTGCTGTTGACGGGGATTTCCAGGCTCCCGCTCTCTTCAAATTGTTCCAACAGGTTTGCGCCATTAGTTGCCATGCGAAAATCATTTAGCCATTCGTTGAAATCTTTCGATTTCCCGCTGAACGGAGGAGAAGTGTACCGCACACTTTGGTACCCCGTCGCTGGGGTTGTGGCTCCGTATCCAAAGCCAACAGCAGCACCACCATCTCCCATGGCACTACTATAATCTTGGTTGTGAGCAGCGGCTACTCTCACCTCTTGGGGGACAAAGCCCCCTGCTTCGCCGCTGTGTCGCCCTGACGGGCCAGACTCTCGAACAGGTTCGCGCAGGTACCTCCCGTCCTGCGCACTCCCGGTCCACGGTGCCCCTCCTTCGGCGTTCGTGGACTCCGCGGCAGCGCTCTCCCTAGCATCGCCGCGATCAGCGGCACCCTCCATGGTGCCAGCTGGCTCCTCCTTCTTGTTTGCCTTCATGGTATTTTTCACTAGCGACACTAGCTGGCTCATCTGATCCGTCAGCGAGCTAACTTGCGTCCTCAGGGCCACGAGCTCTTCTCTGGATCTCTTTCTGTCTTCCGCCGCAGAGTCGCTGGAGGAGTCACCCCCATCTTTGCGACCTGACATTCCTAATGAACTCTCCCTCGAGGGACTGAAACTATTGTGTTCGTATATGTCCTTCACTTGGAAGGGGAAGACGTTTTATCTCTTGTATTCGACACGCAAGGGGAGTAGGGAGAAGTGAAGCCCACTTTGGAGTTCGAGGGGTCCCCGCACATGCAACCATTTGAAGGTGTACATATGGCCCATCTGCGTGCCCTCTATTGATGCCGGTAGAACTAACCAGTCCGTATCCAATCACACGAACAAGCGGAGGGGCTGCTTGCGATTCTACGTTTTCCGTGTCCGTGTTTCTGCCATCGCCCGTCAGCTCGGTCTGCTCTCTTGCGGTCAAGTTCTGGCGGTAACGTTGTTCTGAGATTTCTTCAAGGGATTTCTTCGCGAAGTCACCGCTGCTGCAGGCACAATTCGATTGAACCTCTGCACGCGCTGTGCTTTACTACAATACGTGACTAGCGATCGGACGTACGTTGTGTTTCGCTTATTTTGTGTTCTTTTGAGGTGATCAACTATGACCCCTCACTCCCGTGTTGTAGAATCACCTCAAGCTGTGTGGCCTTACATCCAACCACAGATACAGGTTGTTGCTGATTTCCCTCGATTTTTCCGCTGGAATATGATCTCCTGTAGTCTTTCAACCCAACGAAGTCAAACTCACGCAGATCCCAACCGGAGACAAACAAATCGCACGCACACACACTGAAGAACAGAAGGGCACATGCCTCGGCAAAAAAACACGAATCATGCATGACGTCATGTCATGTTGTAGGATCTGAAAACGCCAAATATATGTGGTCGAGCACGAACATATCTACCTTCATATAGACTACAATTACACTGACAGCAGCAGGAGGGGATTGTTTCGTAGACGACCCCGACTTCCCGAAAGAACCACCGATCTCGCGGAAGGAGTTTGCAACCGTACGGCATTTGTTGTTGTGGATTTGTCTACTGGAGATGATACGTCACGGATCAAGTCAGTGCGGTGTATACATCATGCTCAGAATTCAGACATTTGCCTGATTCGGGACAACAATCAACTAAATATGCATCCTGCGACTTTATGTCAATATTTGGACTCAAAGTCCTGCTGGATTCACATCTATCTGCTTCCTCCATGTACATCTAGTCTAGTCGGTAGGTGCCTTGCAGCGATTGTGCGTTGGCTTGGATGCGCGTTAACGCCCCACGCGCTGCTGCCGGTTTTGACTCTGCACATGGTGAGCATGTGAATTTTTCATGTTCGACGATGCATGTAAAAATCTTCCATTCGGACTTGGCCGCAAAGTCGTTCATCCAGTTTCAAGCGGTTCACCGGATGATCCTCGTCAACGATGGTTCAAGTCCTCCGTCACTTGTTTATTGCGTCGTACCTCCACGTAAGTCACCTTAATTGCTGTGTTTCAATAGTGTTCCGTCGACTGCGAGGTACACTCAACATCGTCGGACAACCGGGGCAACGTTTGTCGTGGTGATGCCACGGCCACGTCTGATGAGGTTCAGACAATTAGAATAGTCACGGAGATGGAATATCTGTTGGATGTGAGAATGTGAACAGTAAGAGGGGATCGATCACCGCAAAAAGGCACTGACACTGTCTCCTAGTTCAGTATTTTGAATATCGATGCGATCCGTGGGATGTGCATCGGTAGTACGCATACCTTCTTACAGGAAGAATTCGATGTGGCCTGTGACTTTTTACAGCGGGAAACATTCTCCAAAACACGTCGAATGACTGACCTTGATATATTGAGTCAAAAGTGTGAAACACCAAAGAGTTTCCCCCAACATTTTTCGTCCATGAAATTACCGACATGGTGGGCGGTACCGGAAAACCACCGTCTTGTGTTCTACCGCCTGCGCGTAAGCCGTTACCGACAACCGCCCACCACCGAAAACCATAACCGCCAACGGGCATTACCGCCGAAAACGTGTCCACCAACAAAGCCGCCGCCGTGGACCCTTCGAAGTAGCCCCAGCCAATGAGTGAACACCAACCCCGCCCCTTGGACAAGCAAGACTTGTGGCAAGGAAAAACATATCAGAAACCTCATAACTGAAAACGGGCCCCAACACATCAAGAAACTACAAAACCCGACACAACCCGCGGGAACACAACCCACGACGACACGCACAACAAGCGAGTGGAAGTCGGACACACGCACGCCTGCAAGTAGTTCGTCAGGAATCAGTCGAGGGCTCCTAGCATCACCAAGTTACAGCAAGTGTGAATTGCAGGCCAACGGCCACAATGGTAGAGGCGACCATGTTCGACGGAAGATGCCCGTTGCATACAACCGACCCAAGCATCTCGGGAGCGAAGCAAAAAAAAAATCAGCAACCGTACGATGCACCTTCCTTGGTGGTCGACACGAACGATTGGTAATTTAGACTTGGAATGTGAAGCGAAGACGCCAGCACACCTTCACAACAGACAGCGGCATCGCCCATCTTCAACTCGCCTCCTCACGCACTCTCGTTTCACTACCTCGTCGACATCCTGCCATTCCCCACCCACGTAGGCATTCTGGGTCTAGGCGCCCGTCCCTCGGGTGGTGAACCAGCAGCCCGCCAAAGGTTGGGATGGTGATGCTGCGGCCAAGCTCTCACCTGCTCTCGTCCAACATCGAAACCTTGTTGCCCACCCTCCTCGCGGTACATCATCACAGGTCTCCCAGTCGGGCCAGACGAGTCGGGGGGAGGGGGCCGCCCTGCATCGCCACTCACGTACGTCAAGGGCCTGTCACTGGCACCATGGCGCCACCCCCCGATACTGCCGCCTGGGGTGGCCGGAACGGCCCAGCGACGGCGGGCATCCACGTCCTCCGCAGACACGCGGGGATATCGGTCGTGCGCCGGTCCCGAACGAGGGCCGCCGCCCCCGCCAGCTCGGCCGTGGCCGTTACCTCGACGGTCGACGCCTTCATCTACTGATGCACCGGGGGGAACCGCGAAGGTAGGGTTTGCGGCATGTTGCCTGGAGTACGAGACGTACGGAGCACGCGATCGCGAGTCTATTTGGCCTGTGGTTGGCCGAATCCGCTCATTGAAAGACATCCTCGACATCAGAATCGGCTCGGGGGGAGAGTCGGACAAGGATCTCTTTCTGCCAGAGTAAAGCGGCACCAGATGAGCTTCGGCATGGACGTGACTGATTCGATCGAACGTTCTGCGAACAAAGCATAAGCGACGATTCCCGGAAACCAACAACGACGAGAACGGGAGACGGCCGAATCGGCACACGGTCAAAGAGGCAGGCATGCCTTGGGAAGGAAAAATGTGCTTTCGGAACCCAGGTTTTCGATACACATGAAACGGCAACCCTGTGTGAAGCCCTGCTCGAGTTGCCGCACGGGCATGGGAAAGAGCCGGTTGTGTCTCTTAAGTTCAACTCGAACAGCTGCTGTATTTCCTCGTGTGTTTTGGGGGTTGAACGCGATGGGAGCCTCCTCGTTGATAACAATTCAAAGGGATGCCTTCAAGACGAATCCCACTCAAAGTTTGGCTGAACACCCGGAGAACGCTTACTTGACGAAGGCCACGAAGATCTCCGGCTGCCCCTGGAGGCAGCTGTCGGCCCTCTCGAGTAGCTATTGGTCATCACAGTACGATCGAGTAGAGAGAAAAGGGAAAGGGTCGCAGACGTTACAACACGGACAACGACCGACTCAAGACAACTCAGAGAAAATGAATCAAACGGGATTGCAGTATCGCTGGTAAACACGCTGTCAACATCCTGACCCTGGAAGCAACTCCGTCCCATTGAACATAGGTGCTCACCTGGTCGCGCGTCATCGGCTTGCGGACGTGCGTAGTGATGAGTCCTTTCATGTACCGAAGCTGATCCTGGAGGGCATAGGACAGTAGGCACGGGAACACTCTGGTGTGTTGTCGCCTTTCATACACGGCTATATTACTTGTTACTTTTCTGGTTGATCGAGGTCAGATCAAGTGGCGGCCGCATCATATGGAGTAGCCACATTTCCCACCTTGTCGATGAAGGCATGCGCCATTTCCAGCTGCCTCCAGCAAGGGGCCATGAAGCCAAACTCGACCTCTTCATCCATGGCCACCTCCGACGGCTCATCGTACGCAGGATAGCCGCCGTTCTTAACGATGCTGCCAAGGTCCCTGCCACCGACTCTTGTCCTCACTCGCCTAGCTTGCACTGTATTTTGGATGGCAGGACTGGATTGTGGTGCATGCCCCGGTGGCCTTGCCACGGCCGTGCCCGTGTGGTAGCCATCTGATGCCGGAGCTGGTGATCGAAGTCGGGCGGCAAACACGGCACAGTTTTAATGGAGGCAGAATACTCACCACAGCCGTTGACCGTACCCCTGCACGTGCCACAACGATACATGAAACCCCGAACGATATCTTTCTTGCATACTCTGGCCACCACGTAGGCGGACACGTGATGAATCATGCGGTTCGGGCGAATATCAGAGTTAAATCAGCAGGTCCCGTGATGATACCACTTGCAGAGGGCTTCCTGCGGGCCGATACGTATTCATGTTGTCCTGATCGGAACTTTCATGGTACTGATCAAGACTTGCAAGCCGCGAGGAGGGCGGTCATTTTCTCGGATGACGCATGTTTACAGTTCACTTCTCGCGGTTGATTGGTACCACGACAGATACGAACGAATGAGTCGAGGAAATCTGTGAAAATTGCGTTGTCGATAACGGAATTCTGGTGCTGTTGATTCATTCGAGGTGGTATGCGTCAGTTGAGGCGGCAGGTACTGCTTTCCAGAGCTGTTTTCCGCCCGCCCACCGTCCTCCAGACCTGGCAATCATTCCAACGCACCTGTCACCCCGGCTGAAGGCAGCACACGAGTTTGCCGAGAACGTGCCTCGGGGCCGTACTGCCTTGCGCGCGCCGCTGTGTAGCCAAGGCCAGTTACTAACTGTGAACCTTGAGCGATTCCAACCCCACGTGTGGCGCCATGATACTTCCTCACCTGTCAATTAAGCAGCGACAAAAGAAATTACGGGACGGCAGGAGCGGGATGGTCGAAACTATCATCACTGCGCGCCGCGCTCCACAAGAAAAGACGTGTGTGCACGGACCAAGGTCTTGGTATTGGAACTTTTTTCGGCGAAACAGGCACTTGAAGCAACCAGGCAGTGCAGAAAGTCGCTGTGCTGGCTCCACACATCAAATATCATCTCGAAACTGAAGAATGTTGAAGGCGATACATCATCACAAAGACAAGGGATGTTCAATTTACCTCGAGCACCTCGACGTCAGCAGAAGTGTTTCCAGACGCTGCCCCCTGATGCCTGATTGCACGCTGGCGCTCGTATTCACGGCTAACACTGCCACTAGCGGGTGCTCGGTAGGCAGCAACAGCAGGCGCACGGCCACCAAGAGCAGCTTTGGTGACGTTAGAGAGATATCGTTTGAGGTCATCTGGCCTCACTCCCCTGCACTCTGCGGTGGCTCTTGTGGTCATCGAAGCAGATGACCCGGGCGCTACCCGTGCGACAGGATGGGGCGTTTGTGGAGGGTTGGGCCTCACGATGTTTCTGCTGCGCATGGCAGGGCCACTCGTGTATGGACCGACCGTCACGTGACTGGCGGGCGGCTTGAGTTTGGCGGTGCTTGCTTCTTCCGGGAATCCCGAGGCGCCAGGGGGAAGGACTGCTTCGAGTTTCCGTGCCTCTGCCGCCTGCCCGTGGACATGCAGGCAAAGGGTGGCAGGTACGGCGCTTATTTGATTTGACTCTAGGTGGACGGTTGGTCTACGCTTGCCGAGACGGGCGTACAAGATAGGTGCATCGGCGAGATGATGTCAGGAAGCCCACGTTCTCGTGCTGGCTAGGAGGAATTCGAACAAGACATTCTCACCTCCTTGCCGTAGACGACGTCGGTCAGGGGTTTGGCAGCAGCAAGGTACCGGTAGAAGAAAGAGAGCACCTGCACAGAGAGCGCCGTTGTTCGTCATCGGATACAGGAACCTCCGATGTTGATGTCCAACGCCAACAGGCCACAGAATACGAACCTCTCAGAACGGGAATCATTCATAAGGACAGAGAAAGCGGAGTCACCGGGTATCACAGGGCATTGGTCGAGGGTTGAAAGGCTCCAATGCACGTTTTTTGCATCGTACCTGGGTGGGAGTTTTGCCCGGAACCTGCTTACTAACGTTCGCGAGGTCAATGAAGTCCTCTCGTTCAAGGTCCATCCCCTCTCGTGCCCAGCCGTGCGACCGCGGGTTTGGATCGAAATGCTCTTCAAGAGCCTGCTTCAGGTTTCTCACCTAATCACGCAGACGTATGGGATGATCAAGGTACCACCCGGATGTGCGAGGAGTACGTTAACCCAAACTGGGTGCTGTAAGGTCAATCTTTTGAATACGTCAGAGCTTTTGGACGAAAAACGTCTTCGAAGTTCCCCTGCTCCATCGGCTCATTGAAGCAGATGTGGGGTACATCTTGCAGACAATTGTAACCGACGCGTAGCACACCTGTGACAGCTTCCACGGATCTACGCTCTCCATGGATGCCTGATCGAAGACCTTCAGGGCGGGCTTGAAGTCGTCCAGGGTGCATCTAGCCTTGACCAACGCACCCAGAGCCTGTTCTTCGCTCTGCCGAGGCAGAAAAAGGTGAAAAAAAAAACATTCCCAGGTTAACAACACTAATGATGCCAAACTCTGGACTGAAGGCCTGCCGAATACAGACCTAACTAGAATTTCGCCTGGGCCCTGAGACGCGAGAGTTCAACCATTTTTGCACTGCAAAAGCAAGAGGATTTCTTTCGGTGAATCGGTCTGCGGTCGCCTTTAGACCTGCCGGTCTTCACCCACTAAAGCGGACCAGTTTCTCGAGCACAACGCCCCTGTCGCGAGCTCGAACCTCCAAGCGCGAGAAGAGCTTCATCGCTCTTTATGCACCCAACCATTTGTCGACCATAGGCTTAGTCATTGAGCTGGACATTTCGGAGCGAAAAATCAGTTCAAAACGGTGTAAAAACATTTTTGTCGGTCATATTCGACGACCTGACCGTGCTATTCTCACGATCACAACGCCCCTCTCGCGAGCTCGAGACTCCAAGGGCGGGACGAGGTACAGCACCGTGAAAAATGTTGAAATATTAAATCTCCTTCTCCAGGGCGAGTCTACGCACGAACTGTCTGCACAAGAAAATTGTGGTAGTACAACAACAGTTTGTCAGTGTGATCCGCGCGCCAGGCATACGCGAAGTACGTACATTGGTTGTGATACGCCATATATACGTGCATACCACAGATATTGCAAAGTCTACCGTCGGATACCCCCACCGGAGCAACACTAACTGGAGGCTACCCTGAAGAAACTTTTGCCAAATAACAAGCATTTTGAGTCAGATGTGTCCACACCACAGCTTTATTTTTGAAAAGTTCGATGGACGATAGTGAATGATGTTGACGTCGTCATTCCAAGTAGAAATAGACATGAAAAGAACTTAGTCTACAAGCACAGAGAGACTCGTTCGAGAAATAATCACGGTCAGTCGGAGGGATGACCTGTCAATCGATCAAATGTTCTGTAAATGGTTGTTGAATTGAATGAAGAAAGTTTGGCGTTCGAGTTTTCCGTCATGTCGCAACACTCATTATTGTAGTCGGAACATATTTTCCAACTTCGTGCCCCTGGTATGCTGTGCACTGTCGTCACAAGCACCACCTTTTCCTTTCAGCCCTGAAGGCGAGGGCGCCTGGCGCTCGAGACTGTTGACCTTGTTAGCAATATTCTTTCACCAGACTGGTATGGTATCAAATCTTCGCGTGACAAGAAAAATGACCAGAGACACGTCGCCGTACCTGTACTCTCTGGATGGCAGGTATCGGGACTTTTGTCTGGGCTATTTCTGAGCACGCAACTCGAATTACTCCAGCAGAGTGGCAACCGACGGTTATCGCCCACACGGCGTAGCTGCCGGCGACACTGGTCGTGGCCGCCTCAACATTTCCGTTATTTTTGCTGCCGGCATCGCCGAGGCGCACATGAACAGCCACGCCGGGGGAGGCTTGCTTGGCCTTGACCACGTCCTTCGCCGCGTGGAGATACGTGGACAGCATATGACGGGATTGCGGATCCCAGTTGCGGATACTCCGCCAAACCTTGTGCAAGAAAGCGAGTGAGTCGCGACCATAGACAAGATACAACGGTCGCCTTGAGAAAAACAACGCAGAGATCGCTGCACAAGACGTTAAGCGTGGTGCTCATAAAAGCGGATCTCTGGATAAAACGTACGATTGGGGTACGCTCTTTGTGCCCCCGCAGCAGAGAGCTCGTAGAGGGCGTGGAGGGAATGAACATGTGCGATTGTGTTCTCCACCAGACTGATAGAGGGGCATCTCCGCATGAACGATGGGGATCGTACGTTGTCTTGGCAGGTATCATTGATTCGGCATTGTGACCGCAGGTCAAATCGCTTGACGCTAAAATGAAATATGCCAAACCAACTGCACAAAGAAGACAGCAAGACCAGCCACAGCGAATTGGTGTCTAGCATGTTCTCACCATCTTAGCACCTGTACGAGCAGCGGGATGTCCGGCTTCTTTCTTCCTGTCTTCTGCCGACAAAAGGTCTGGGATATCTGCTTGGTAGTCGTCGCCGACCAGAATTTGCTGCGGATCGCAGTCCGGCTTATCCGCACCGTCCACAGCAGCCTTGGTAGAGCGCCCCCTCGTTCTCGTTCCCCCGATCGACCGTCGGCATTTCGATTCCGTTGCTCCCCCTGCATCCCTTGCGGCTTCCGCCGAACAGCGCGACACGGACGGGGTTGGCGAGGAAGGTGCTGCTTCTGTAGCAGCTCGTGTTTTGACCGGCCCGCCCGCCTTGGGAGCGGTAGTCGTTGAGGATGAGGAGAGGGGTTCTTCAGAACGCCTTGAATTGAGCGCTGGCATTCCCTCCACGGGGGGCATGGCTAGACGCCGCGGTCGTTTCGGTAGAGGTCCTTGTTGCCCCACATCTCTCTGAGGTACCAGTGGGGTTGTGTGCATGGGCGGGGCTGCAGCAGATACCGCAAGTGGAGGTGAAGAAGGACTCTTCTGAATCTTGTCTTCAGAGGACGGATCGACATCCTGGTCATACTCTTGGCCGAGCGATTTCTTGCGTCGGCTCGACTTCCTTACCGGCAATTCCAGCGCATTGTGGTTCCGCGTGTCGGTGGAGTTGTTGAGGTCACTCGCGTAGTCGCTATCTTGGTCGTCGTTTTCCCACTCCAGGTCATCGAACATAGGGTCCTCCCCTTCTGAGGACTCTCCCTCGCTGGGTTCTCTGGCTGATACGGTGTCGCCCACAGACGCGGCAGCTGCGATGCTGCCACGCCTGCCGGCAGTGCCCTCGGCAGCAGCAGGCCCTTTCGCTCTTCGCTTCGGCAGCAGCCAACCGCTGCTCTGCGTCGCAGGCTGGCCGCTATTAGCCGCAGCGACTTCCTCGGCGCGACGTGACCCGCGCGCAACCGTTTCCACGAACCGAATTCTCGCGCGCTTGGCTATGGTCTCCGTACGCTCTACAGGAGTGAATTCACCCGAACTAGCATCGAAAAAAAGGGTGAGCCGTGGCCCGAAGTTATATTTCCACCCAGCTAACAAATCGTCTTGTGCGCCCACGCGAAGGGTGATTGGCTTAACGATCAGTACAACGTCAAGATCCTCCCATTTGTTTGTGAGGAGCACTTCATCGCAGCCTGCTTTCTGGCCTCCCTTGGACCACGGAGAACTTCGGTTGGAGGTGGAAGGCGCCTTCGCGTCGCTCATACTGCCATTTGTTCCCGTTCCTTCAGCCTTGCGGCGAGCCTCGACGAGCCCAGCAACGGCGTCGTCAGGAAGGTCCGATGCGTACACCAGATACCGTGCGCGAAACTTGAACAAGCCTGTGAAGGTGTCTTCCCACATCGAAAGAACCTGCGTGGTCAATCGCCGAGAGGAGCGTACCCGGTTGGCGAAAAACAATGGAACACGTTGAACTTCGTGTTGCACGCGACATCATAAATTTGTAGGATGGCCTCGGTGCACGAGAACCTGCGTGACAAAAGGTGTAAAGTAATCCCAACAAGGTTTCCTGTTTCGGTTCAACGCTGCCGTGTTCTCTTGATTCTTGAAGCAACGCAACGCCAGAAACAAAGCAACTGGATTCATAAGTTATGGTCATCTTGATAGAGAGTGATTTTGTGGTTATCCATCCGCGTGTGTACTACCTTTCCGCTAGTATCACACAGTGACGACAAGCCTTGCGGGCCGCAAGCTCAAACCGGCAGTTTGGCGGCCATCTCGTGTATCGAACTGCAAAGTGTTCTGCGGGGGGTAGGATGTATAAGTGAAGTTAGTGGGAAATGTAGGATGCTCCGGTATTGGTGTGGTGTTAAAACGTCGACTTAGAGGGTTCTGAGAAGTTGTGCCGAGATAAACTTACTGGGCTTACTACCTGGTGTAGGCCTACAGGCAAGGCGCTTGCATGTCTCGTGTGAATATTTTTGCCATGAGTTTCACAGCAGCTAGCCGCCTAGCTGGAGAAAGACGTCAATGGGTTTGTTCGGGGAAAGTTTTTCTCCCTGTTTTCATCTCGTTCCCGGTGGACGCATGGCTGTGGTGATGATGATATCAAGTACAAGAAACCGTTAGCGGCTGCATGGAGATGCAGTGTAGCGTATGCGGGTAGTCGTTACGTACATAGTCAACTTTCGTTGTAGGCCATAGTTCACATTTCGATGTTCCCTACAAGTCACCAAGGTCTTGCCCTTTCATTGCTTGAGGCAGCCCCCGGTTTAATTTGCCACGTACTTCGTACCCCTGAAGTACGATAATTGCGCCGAACCCCGCTCCATTGCCGTGTAATTGGTTTCAATCATTTATTAGACTACACATTCAACTGCACCTATCTGGGTAATAATATCCTGTTGCCACGGACTGCGTCCGCGTCGGTTGGGCCACCAGTGCGGACGCTAGAACATGCTACGGAGGTCGGCACGGTTCTTAATTCATAGATTTTTTTTGTTGTGGGTGAGTAACCGCTGTCTTTCCTCACTTTCGAAAATAGCGCAATTGCTCTCCTTACCTTTACTCATGTATTTTTCGAACCAGGCTTTAGAAGCGCTTAGCGTTCGGTTGTCAGGATTAGCAGTTACTCCCTTTCGCAAACGCTGTTCCATAACTGCCACGTGGTGTGCACTGAGAGACCTGCAGCGGCACAATGCCTTTAAAATCGATGAGGAGATTAATCCGACGAGATTTTCCGGTTCATCGGCTTTACATTCGATACGAGGTGCATATGCATCCACAGCATCTGTGATCATGCTAAATATGTACTTGCAGGATGGTCAACATGTCGTGACACATTTCTTACATTTGGGCTGATTCTTACACACCTGGATTCCTTTCCCAAAATCGGCTCTTTTTGCTTTCTCGTGGCGGTTTGACCTGTTTCGGCGACTCCCATGCTTGGTGTGATGGGATATATTTCCTTACGCATGCGTGCCTAGCGACCATCAACAGCCAGCGTGCAGAATAGCAAGCCCTTCAGCGTAGGGTTGCTGGGAGCCCTTGATGGGAGCGACACGTCAACAACTCAGGTCACACTCGCCGATTATGTCGTCTGGCTTCACCCACGGTGAACTTTTTGGGATGAGAAATCTGGGTGGGCACCATCCTGATTTCTTCCAAACGTTTCAGGTGGAGGCTACCCAAAAAGTTGAACCCAGATTTTGCCGACCCATAAAACTGAAGAATCTGGCTGAATAAGAAGCCGGATTTCTGCCTATCCTGATCAAGGAAGTTTTTGTGTCAATGAGGGGAGGAGACCGCAACTAATTTCTCGCTCCCTAGGCCACTGATCGAAGCCAGACCGGTCAGGGCGTGCTCTCTGTTCCTTGTTCTCTGCCGGAGTAGAGTTGCTCAGCAGCTCGTTGCTCCATTCATTCGAAATCGCCGTCTGCGTTTACACAAGCCGTCTGTTGAAAATTGTTTCCAGGCCTTCAACTCAAGTAAAGGAGACTAGAACAAAATCACAGTTCGAAAAAGCAACGGGCACCACGCGCATGCTTCTCTCCGTCGATCGAGAGTACGCGATGCCGAGAGAATCTACTCCGGCAGAGAGCAAGGAACGGGGAGCACGCCCTGACCGGTCTGGCTTCGATCGGTGGCCTAGGGAGCGAGAAATTAGTTGCAGTGTCCTCCCCTATCTGAACAAAAGCGGCTCTTTTTTCTGTCTCGTGGCGGTTTGACCTGTTTCGGCGTCTCCCATGCTTGGTGCGATGCGATATTTTTTTTTGGCGTGCGTGCCTAGCGACCATCAACAGCCAGCGTGCAGAATAGCAAGCCCTTGGGCGTAGGGTTGCTGGGAGCCCTTGATGGGAGCGATACGTTAAGAACTCAGGTCGCACTCGACGATAATGTCGTCAGGGTTGATCTGCAACCACCCTCCAAGAATCCACCTCAGGAATCCGGCTCAACGTAGAAACGGCCGGACTTTTTTCCAGCCGGATTTTTGCACATCCTGAAAAGTGGGGTTTTTTGTTTTTTGACAACGGAGTTCAGGTGTATCAGAATAAGCCTGCACACGTCTGCGTGGTGCTGCTGCTCAGAATCAGCCTGCACACGTCTGCGTGCTGCTTCTGCTGTCGACACGCATAAACTTGAGTCCAAAGCTCCGCTTAAACCTTTCTCGGCTTGCGGTAGGTCTGCAAGTATGGCCGCCCGTGCTACGCGTCCAATCAGTTGCGACGTGTGTCGGCCGCGTGTGATTGAACGTGTGTATCTGTTGCTGTGTATGCTGCCGTTGCGTAAGACAGGGTGGTGCGGATACCATGCGTGCTACAGTAGCAAAGCCGCGCCACCCCTAATTGGCTTGCAGTAGGTCGACAAGTACGGCCGACGCGTGCTGCGCGTCTGTGCTCCGTGCTGTCAGTCATTTTCGACGCCTGTCGGCCTTGTTCATGCGGTTGCGCGTGACTGCGTGAACCTTCTCAGGTGTCTGGGGTAACCAGAAAAGAAAATCGACCTGCGATATTTTTTCCATACTGCGCACGTCTGCGAAGGCTGCTGCTACCTTGCACTACAGTTCGGTTTGGTGTGGTTTGACCATCATCCTCCTTGCTTTCACTGCTATCATTATTCATTCTCATCATCATGCTGACATCGATTCTTTGGTAGTTCTTCTCTGATCTGACCCTGCGTCTTGTGTTGTGGGGAAGGTCATTCGGCTCGAAGCTCATGCTCTCTTCCACGCCATGATATCCTTCTCGACTGCTGTTTTCGCCCCCGTCCTCCTTCCGTTCCCTCTCTTCCTCCTTCGTCACTGCCGAACGAATTGCCCTCATTGCCATCCTCGTCGTTTCCATCTGCACTACTACCAATATCCCAACCGGTGGGTTGGGGTGGGAATTGATCCATCAGTAGTCCGTGACGTTTGAAACATCACGAATTCGTAAAGATAGAAAACGAGCCGCCAGCTCGGAGGAAAACCATCTCCGGATCCTTTTGGTATGAACAGGCGAAGCAAGGCTGTTTCGTCGTCGAAATTACCCTTGCAGAAGGCTTCATGTGCCAAGTGGTTGACGATGGCTTCAATGAGTCGATTTGTGCCTTTGCCAAGACCACCATATTTTGAAAGACAAGGAAAGCAGATCTAGACGGTGTTTGGGTATGTGCGTGTATAAATATTAGTACCGAACGCGCTGCATGACCGGCTGACCGATGACAAGACGTCGTCAGCTTCAGCATGGGAAGAGGGAATTGTTCATGCTACCAAAGCCGATGATCTCGAACCCTTTAGTGTGTGTCTTGTTACTGTAGCTGGGATTGACTGGACTAACCGGCTGACCAATGACAATATTGCAGAGTCGGAGTGCGGTTGACAACACAAAATTCTTATGAAGGCAATGATCCGGGGGCCGTGAGGAGGCGTCGCGGGGGGGGGGGGGCTGCTTTCCACGCTAGCGACAGAAACGGGAGCTACAGAGGATTGCTGCACTTGTTACCAAGGGTTCCGCTTTGAAAGCGCGTTCCTTTCGGAGCGCTTTTACCGTCGTCTTTCTTTCCGCTACTCTCATCGCCAATTATTGCAATTATTATCGGCGGACCCTCTCTCAATATATATGTGTTTGTGAATAATTGCATTCTAACCGGCTGAACAATGAAAATACATACGTCAGTCTCAGCCGGCTGAAAGCAGAAAATGCTTCTCAAGGCCATGTTTTGGGACTCCATTAGATGTGTGGGTGCGTGAACCGGCAACTATCGCAGCGTAAAGAATTGCCCGAACCGGCGCAATAATCCTGGGCATCCCTCAATGCGGTCTGGCACTAATCAGTGCTCTGTGCGCATAGATTTTACCAGCACCATAATAAACCGGCAACCGGCAATACTCAACCGGCACTAAACAGGGACCTCTACTGAACTACTGAAAAACCCCATCCTTCCTCGTTTTTAAGCATTTTCCGTCGTCACATCATTTACGGGGACATCACCAAACCTTGCATCCCAAATACTGTGATATACCGTGATACCAAGTCGCACAAGGTGTAACACACCAAAAAAGTTCTTGTTGAACATGAATAATTCGATGAAATTCTTTCTTCAACAATTTTGTAGGGTACTATTGTAGGGCAAGTTGTATAAGGTTTATTAATTGATGTCGTAATTGTTTGCGTTTTTGGTACAACACAGGTGGCCAATGGGTACTGTTACGGGGGGGTTGAAGTGACCTGTAACCCCTAGGCGTTGTGCAACCTGGGAAACCCGGTCGGGCGCACCGTTGCCAACCTCCAAGGTCAGGCAGGGTTCCGAAACGCCGGCCTAAACCCAATCAAGGGACATTTGTATCTGTTCTTGGTTGCAGACAAGGTTGTCCAAGCCCGAGAATGTCCATGCCTTGCCGCGAAAACAATGTACCAGCCAGTGTCCACAGA